ATACGCCCCCCTCTCAGCCTTCTTTTCTTCAGGCTGAACAAGCCCAGCTCCCTCAGCCTTTACTCATAGGAGAGATGCTCCAGTCCCCTCCTCATCCTCGTAGCCCTCCGCTGGACTCTCTCCAGTAGCTCCTCATCTTTCTTGAACTGGGGAGCCCAGAACTGGACAGAGTACTGCAGATGGGGCCTCACCAGGGCAGAATAGAGGGGGAGGAAATTCCTACTTTGACAAACAATTTTTGGTGTCTGTATTTATTTTTTCGAAGTTTTCCTTCGGTGTGATTTTCGTATTTCAAAATCCGGTCTGAAGTTACGGGATCATGGGTGGTTTTGAGACATTTTAGAAAAAAGGCCAGTGAATAATACTAGGTTGTTATGTAGTGGGCTAGATTTTCACCATGGCTTGCATCATCTGGAACACTAATTTATTGTATTTATAATTTTATATTATTTTTTGAAGTAATGAAAAAATTTAGATTAATTTCTTGTACATGTTTAAGCTATAGCTAAAGTTTGTATCTGATAGGAATTTCTTCAGAAGACTATGATGAGGATGAATTAATTCATGTTCAGAAGGGACAGGAAAAGGAAATTGCATAAATATGAGCATTAGGTTTTTGAACCTTTTTAAACACCTTTTTTGTTGAAGATCTTCAACCAAGCCTGTCAAGTAGTTAAAAGTATTTCTTAAATGCTGCTTCTTCTCTTTCACACATGCTTCAAGATGAGAATTCGGAGAGGTTTCTCTCTTATGATAGCTGAGAAAGAGAAGCCTTTTATAATGGAAATATTTGCAAGCAGGAGCAATTGTTTTTCATAATGAACATCAGTCCTCTAGCTCATCCTCCGTGTGTTGCAGCTGTAATTGTAATTATTTTTACTCACTGATTGCCCAGAAGTCCAGACGAACAGTTACTTTGAAATAATTGCTAAACGCTGTTACAGAATACTGCAAAATTACCTACCATGTGTGCTTGGTTGGAAGACAGAGGGCTGGGATAAATAGCGGATTCAGAAATGAAAAAGTTAACTGACACTGGCTACAAGAAACAAACAAAGAAGAAAATTTGCTAGAGGGAATAGACCAAGATATTGAAAAGCAAATAAGTTAACTAATCCGATTTCCTGGCGGTGAGTCTGGGCACTTGTGCTCAGGCTGAGCACACTCTGTGCTTTTCATAAATTGAATTTATTGACTCCTCTTTCTTCCCTATCTTGCTTATAATTATCTCTCCCTCTCTTCTGTATGCTCCTTATTTCTCGTCCTGTCTGTAATCTCATGTCTCTATCTGTCCTTTTCTCCCCTTGTTAGAAGGGCCCAGAGAGCTGTTAATTCAGAGGAGTTTGACACATTGTTGTATCTTCACTGGAAATCTTTTCCCAAAGTCATGAGAAGCTAGTGAGATAAATTAAACTCCATTATTAATGTTTGCATTTTATTATAATAGTAATGGAGAGAAAAACCTACTTAATGGAGCTGTTAAGGGGGAGATATTAGGATTGTCTGTGACATCTATTTGTGCTCCCAGGGCTGAAGTAACTCCAGCCAGACCAGTCACTGCAGTAATACGGACCATCCAGTGGCATTTTTGTCGCTTACCCTAGTCTGCTGTCCACTGATATGGTCAAGGTGGCTGTTAGAATACCCTTTTTTTTTTCATTTCTTCCCCCCTCCTTTCCGCTGGGCTACAGGGAGTCCTAATTCATATCTGGAAACACGACTAGACTATGGTTTAATGAAGTCTGTGCAATAGCTTCCTATTAGACCATTGAATTTCAGAGGGATGCAAGTCTCTGCAGGCAGGTGAGATTTAAAAGTACTTCAAAGAACGAGACCAATAGCTGCCGGTGTCTGACTGCCTGACTACAAACCGTTATCCTTCAGTCTCTTCAGCCTTGTTGTAACCATTATTTTCATGTGTAGGCTGGAGTGGTCCTTAATCATGCATCCTAGTCAGAATAAAACCATTATTTTAGCCTCATCCTCCAGTATTTTTACTAGATATCATCTTCCAGTCTAATAGAAAAAGATGTGAGGTTAGTGCAGCTGGAAACACTGAACTGAAGCACGATGAAAAGGTGTTGTCTTCTGTGGCCACCATTTAACACTGCCTTGATTGAAGGAAGTTTATTACGGAAGAGTCAGACCAGGTTCTCTTCATACCTACATTGGTGTAATGAAAAAAACCACAAGTATTTTAACTACATAAAGTAGATTTGTAGGTGATGTTAAATGGCATGAGTCAGTAAAGAACATTAAAAAACCCCCAAAATGTAGACAAAGCCATAACAAGCCCTGGCACACTCCCAGTTGTCTGAAGATGAAATTTCGTGGGCAGAAATATGCCGATGATGAACAAATACCTGCGATTTCTTTCCTGAGGACACTGAAGAAAAGTAACACCATTTTTCTCAGGTCTTTTGGGAGTTTCCTGCATTAGCTTAGGCAGTGTTAAGTTTACACAAAGTTAATATTCAGCCCACTGATGGCTTCGAGCAAGTTTCTGTAACACCGCTGCGAAAAGAGTGTTCCAGGTAAAGTAGTCTTCATCAGTTTTACAGAAATCTCTGTGGAGATGCTGCCAAACTAAGATTGGAGATTTTGTTAACTAATAAAAGATTCCCTTATTTTTGTTTGTAATAGCACGTAGGGAGCATAGACCCGACTCCTTTTATTCTGTCAGCGTGTAGTTCTCTACCATGGATTCTGGAGAATATTTGCGATCACAAGGACTTTTACCATCTTCTCATGTGCACACTGTCCTGCTCCTTGGAACACCTCTTAATCTCTTGAAGAAACGCTGCTTAGCGGCTAGAGGGAACTGGGGTTGTTTAGTGTGGAGAAGAGGAGGCTGAGGGGAGACCTTACCGCTCTCTACAGCTACTTGAAAGGAGGTTGTAGCAAGGTGGGGGTTGGTCTCTTCTCCCCAGTAACCAGCGATAGGACGAGAGGCAATGGCCTCAAGTCGTGTCAGGGGAGGTGTAGACTGGATATCGGGAAAAATTTCTTTCCTGAAAGAGCGGTCAGACATTGGACCAGTCTGCCCAGGGCAGTGGGGGAGTCCCCATGACTGGAGGGGTTCAAAAAGGTGTAGATGTGGTACTTGGGGACATGGTTTAGCAGGCATGGTGGTGTTGGGTTGACAGTTGGACTTGATCATCTTAGAGGTCTTTTCCAACCTTAATGATTCTATGATTCTGTGATTGATCTAGTTGAATGGTTCACTGGGTTATTTTTAGAAATACTGTGAGAATATGGTTGAAGACACACATGACAACAGATTTGTCATTCCCTTTCTTTTTAATTTTCCTGAGCCTAAACTTGTGTGACTCTGAGAATGCAGTCCAGACTCGCAAGACAGTGTGTCCTGCCTGGCCATATACTGCTGCTCAAATACTTCAATAACCTGTTTGTAGGTCTCCTGTAAGATTTCATGGTTACGTCTGGGCTTGCTCCTTACATAAGCCCTAAAAATTATCAAATACCTTCCCACCATTTCTTACAAGGAGACTCATAATTACTGTCTTCCCTGTTTTCTGGATTTTGGAGGCAAGAACAACAGATTGCCTCGGTCAACATCGTAGTCCTCTGACAAACATAGGTGGCCTCCATCATGCTTTTACTGCCTCACCTGTCTGTGTCCTATTAGATGCCACTTTCTGTTCTCCTCACTGATCCAGACAAGTAGTATCCGTACACGTGCTCGTTTCTGCAGACCCTTTATTTCTAGATCATGGCAGTAGGAAGTTCTTAGTAGAACCCTACATACTGTCCTTGCAAGTCTACTTTTTCACGGTAGAGGCCAGGACCTCTCTGAAGACTCAAGACCTTCATGGCAGAGCTCTCTGGTGCGGCAGGAGGAATGACTCTTGGACTACTTGACAGATCTGTACTTTTAGCTCTCGGTGGCCTGACTGTGTGCAGGAGGTGATTAATGAAGGTCAGTGCAACATGTTCAGGCTGTTGAGATGTTGATGGTGACTCAGAACACAGGAAGGAGGTAGGTAGGGGAGATACTTAGTGTTGTATGACTTGAGGATATATTTCCTTGAGTAGGTAATTGCCTGGAACGGGATTTATCTTATTGTAAGGTCAGACGGTTTAATTCTCTTAATAGCCATAGCATGACTAGAGTCATGATAGCATTAGGGTGGATGAAAAGGAGTTGTTCCTGCAGCTCTTCAGGCCTCCAGATGGCTGGCTTGTTGAGTCCTCAGATAGCTTCACTCTGCCTCTGTGCCTTGTCTCGGCAATGACATGCGTGTTGACAATGTTTCTTTTTCTATATTTTAATTTTAAAAATTGCAATCCCTAGGAAGGAATTGTAGCTGAACTTCTCTGTAATAGCTCTGAGTTACTGAAATATGTGTTTCTCCCTCTCTCTTCCCCTCCCCCCTGAACCTTTTCTTAGCAGAGCATGCTTGGGAGAGGAGGATAAAGGCATTGTCCAAATCAAGCACAAGACCATCAACTCTAATTTCAGCAGAAGAGCATTTTTTCCCAAGAATGATATGACAGCCCATTTACAGGGCAGACCAATAAAGAGAAGAACTGGAAGAGCCATTTCAAGAGCAGCAGCCATCACGGCTCAATCAGTGTGACCATTTGAAAAGCCAAGACCTGTATCTTATTGCATCAGAAATCACACGTCCAAAGATACTGTTCAGTCTTAGTAAAATCCACTTATTGGTGATTGAAGGCAGGAAAAGAAAAGACCCTTTCACTGACCTTAGAAAGGTGAAATATCCTTCTAATGCTGCTATTTCATTGTAGAATCTCCTGAACAACTTCTCACTGCCAAAGGCACGGGTATGTAACACTTGGTGTGCCAGGACGTGGCTGTACTCTGTGAGCAAGTCAGCTGCTGCTCCTCACCGTACAGCCTGTGTTCGCTGATCGTGGTGAAGTTTTCCTTACAACTTATAACGGCGTAAATTGTGCTTTAACTTATTCCACAAATTATGTAACTTAAGGAAGTCTCTCTCCTGGCCTTCTGCTGGAATGAGGTTACTGCTCCAACACTGAAGATGTAACATGGCCTTTATTTACGTGAAATGATTCTGCTGTGCTCCTCACTCCTATCGAGTACTGACGAATATGCCTCGCTCTGTACCAACAATAAATACATTTTATGCACAAGATTGATGTTTCAGTCTGGCTTTCTTTCCCCTTCTCAGAGGCGGATGGTGTTCCCTCTGCTCTGTCAATCGTGTTTTTCCAGCAGATGTTATTGCTGGAGCGTAGACTTTTCTGCATAACCAACCTTCCTTTCAGGAATGGTACTTACATAGAGCTGGTTTCCATCGCAGCAACCTGACGGCAACCCACGTGGGAGTGTGCTGCGATTCATGCCCCACCAGAGCTTCCTTGCTTGGAAGGTACTTGTGAAGGAAAGGACATACAGTGCCCAAAACCGCAAACCAGCTTTCTGTGAGTACCCACTTTCTTTTGGTTATTTTTGTTCAGAGAACGACTGCCGCGTTGATCCTACCAAGCAGTCTTAGAGAAGGTTTTTTACACAATAGTAAGAGCATCAAATGAGCGACGTGTCGGGAGCCTTCTGCAGTTTGTTTACCTGTTCTATTTCTCTTCTTGGCTGTGTTTGAACTGCGTCCTGCCGTACAACTGCGAGTGAACCTGCGGATCTCATTTACATTCAGAGTATTGCCAGTGACTCTTGTATTCTAATTATCAAGATGCTTTGTGAGTACTGTTTAATTAAGGATTTTTTTTTTAATGCTACAAAAAGAACCTGGGCTTTTTTACATGTGAAGCAATTGTAATATCAGTAGGAGAGGAAGATCCTGGAGTTCAGCGTCAGGTGCCAGGTAAATGCTTGAGAGCAATGATAGGGACAGAAGCGACGTGTTTACATGGTGACTTGCTGTAGTGTTTACAAATCAACTAACTCACAAATTCTCGTTTATAATGTTCCCTTTTGTAACAGAGAGCTGAGAAGTTGGCAGATCCATCCTTGCCAGACTTAGAATTGGCAGCGAAACACAGCGTAGAGGAAAAGCAGACGTTTTTAAGGCCAGATGATTCTGTAAAATCAAGAGGAGAGCTATGTCGGGAAGGCACGTCTCTGTTATTGCCAAATGTTTATTGGTTTCCCGTCCTGACAGCCTTGAGCAATGGGAGTCAGTCTCGCTTGCTTTGTTCCAACTGTGTTTCGGGCTTCATTTGAGATGTTATGTTCTTTAAACATCTTCTGTATCATTGGTAGCGGCATCTCCAGCATGTGTTGCTTGAGCTTGGGGGATGCTGATTGCGGCAAACAGGGTGTAGGCTTTGAATTGCCTGCGTTGTGGACAAGTTTTCCTTTAAAGTAGAGCAGTGGTTCTGAATGTTTCTGGAGCGAGCTTCCGTTGGCCACCTCTTCGGCCTTCACCGCCCCGCCTGCGTACGAGCATCCCAGTCCTTTCACCAGTCTTGGACTTCTTCCTTCTCCCTGCTCACTGGTATGGGCGTCAAACAGGACACTGTTCTTCTGAAAACAGAGTTGAGAGGTGATGGTGGACATTTTCTGCTCAAGGAAGCAGTAGGTCTGCCTAGGACGGAGACACTTCCCATCTGTTGAAACTGGCCTAATGCTACTTAAAAAGTAAAAAAGCGAAGTTCATAGGATCTGAAGAAACACAAGCAAGAGGTGTGAAAAGAGTTTGGTCAGGAGGATGGGGCCAAACTCTTTTCAGTAGTGTCCAGCGACAGGACAAGGGGCAACGGGCACAAACTGAAGCAGAGGAAGTTCCGTCTGAACATGAGGAAGAACTTCTTCCCTCTGAGAGTGACGGAGCCCTGGCCCAGGCTGCCCAGGGACGTTGTGGAGTCTCCTTCTCTGGAGATATTCAAGACCCACCTGGACAAGGGCCTCTGCGGCCTGCTGTAGGTGACCCTGCTTCGCCGGGAGGGTTGGACTAAATGACCCACAGAGATCCCTTCCAACCCCGACCATTCTGTGATTCTGTGATTTTGTGAGTGTGTGTCTGCAGCTTGCTGTTTATGATACTGGGGGAAGGAGAAAAAATGTTGCGTCTAGTCCATTCTGGACATTGTTCTTCCAGCGAAGACTTAGCTTGTAGCCACATTTCAAGATCAAAAATCTTTGAAGTTTCCCATTTTTCTTCTTTTTTTGGAATGGAAAACCTGTGGGGATGTCTCCTTCCTCCTCAGAAGTAACCAGATCTCTCTGAGATTGCTCACTGCCAAACTGGGAGTTTGAACTCAGCTTAATGGATCCTGATCTCAGAAGGGGTGGCAGGGCTGATACTCTCTAGGGATGATAGATGAAGGCATGACAGTCTCTGCCCATGGTTGAGAATAATTTCAGATCTTGTTGGTCATTCACAAGCTCTGATCAGCTGTAACCAAAGGGCAATTTTATATGGGCTTTTAAATGGGAAAACGGTATTTTAACAGCTAAATCAAAGCTTTTCATTGTTCTTTGCTCAGCGTCTGTGGAACACATCACAAGTCTTTCAATGGTGTCAGAATAATCACTGCTCTCCTACTCTCATGTAATTTCGCAGCGTTAGACTCTTTCAAATATTAGACTTCCTTTCCTCAGGAGTCGTGTGTCTCGGAGACAGATCACATAACCTTGCATCGCTGGGGGTTTTTTTTCACCTGTTAGCATACCCCTGCATTAAAGTTTTCAGCAGATATTTGGAATTAGCTTTAATATGGAAATGGCTACGGGTTGGGACAAATTTCACAGCTCAGACGGCCGCTGCTTTCTTCCCTTTTAGATCCTGTGCCCTGTTTGAGAGAATCTAAAGAGGGAATGGAGTTTCAGGCAGACTCTGTCTGATGGAGTTACATCTCATCTCTCAAGCTGAAGAAGCGATAGGAGGGGAAGCCTCCACCTTTTCTATCCTTATTGTTTTCCTTTCCAAAATAACAGAAATTCCAGACAGTGTTCTGCTCCTCAAACTGTTGCAAGGTCTTCCCTCCAGCTGCGAATGCTGAGCAGGTTTGGGCAAGGCAAACCGATCATTTCGAGTGTTTTCTTTATATGCGTCTTTCTGTTCTGCGATCACCTGAAGAGCCCTAACCAAAACCAGTGACAGGACAAGGGGCAATGGGCACAAACTGAAGCAGAGGAAGTTCCAGCTGAACATGAGGAAGAACTTCTTCCCTCTGAGGGTGACGGAGCCCTGGAACAGGCTGCCCAGAGGGGTTGTGGAGTCTCCTTCTCTGGAGATATTCAAGACCTGCCTGGACGGGTTCAGCACAGTAGGTACCGCTGGGACAGAGCAAGGCAGCCCTGCTTCCCAAGTAGCAGGGACAGAGGGAACTGAAGAGTGCTAAGTCATTTCCCCGGTGTGCCGAATCTCATTTGCAAGACCCAGAAACCATCAGGCATTTGTCCCGTGCCAGTTGGTAACACACTGTAGCTCACCTGCCCGTAGTAAATCCTGTTTGACCCAGAGGTGGGTGTTGCCACTTAAAATCAGGTAAGGATTTAGATTTTGGTGTCTTCTCACCTGTGGGCAAATAGCTGCAGAAATGAATTTTGTAAGCTGGTCAGTTTGTAACGTACAAAGGTTTGCAATGAGCTGACACTGTGTGTTGGAAGTTGACTGAAGGCACAAGAGAGTGGAGCGTGGAAGAAGAGAGCAACAGAGGGCATGCGCGAGGTGGGCGCCCATTCTACAGCCATGAGAGTCCTCTCTGTGTTCAGGCTCCAACATCTCTCTGTATGAAATCATCTGCGGGTCATGATCAGCATTAACGAAACCATTTGCATTCGTGCTTTAAGAACGATGATTCTCCCTGAAGGAGCTGGGGGCTGTTTTCAGGGCTATGTACCCCCTGTCACGTTGAAGTTCGGGAGAGCGACGAGTGACTACCAGACCCTGGCTCTTGAGAGCCCAAGGCAAGATTCAAGTAGAGGTCTGGAAAACAAGGAGGGAGTAAGCCTGGGGAGGCGAGCTAAGTTGACAGTGATGTTCACGTTGGGTTTTGCTGGGTGAACACGCTGCTGTTTTCAACTCAGTGTTGGAGAGGAACATCTGCCATCTCAAGTCACCTTCCTGTTTGTTCTCAGCTGCTTCTCTTGTGGGAGGGAGCAGTATGAAGTAGGGCCTAGAGGCAAGTGCATCTCTAGTTTGATCATCGGTGTGGTGGTGATCCCACAGCGACGTGCTGAGGATATTCCCACCAGAGACACCCATGTGCAGCAAAGGTACCGTGCCCTTCTGTAGTCTGGCTGGCAGCAAAACGGTCACTGCACTTGCCTGCACCAGCCAAGGAGCCTGATCAGTGCCTGCCCCTCCCTGAGGAAGAGGGAGGTATCCTGAGTGTGGTGTGAGGAAGACCAAGAGGACCTGGGTCTTCAAGTCATACTAAAAGAGCCAGGCAGGTTCCCAGAAAGCATGGGGCCCTGAGCCAGGGCTCCTCTGCAAGAATGTCAGCTCCATGTGAACAAAGATGCTGGGTAATTAGAGAGGTAATTAGTTTGGTAATTACTAAAGTAATTAGTTTGATTCTCTCTCAAGCCAGTAACTGCTGGGAAGAGCACACTCAGCCGTTGTACTGGAGGGAGCACCTTGAATTACAGTGCTGCAGCAACCCCCCGCCACGTTAACCCTTCTTCCTCCTGTGTGGGAAGCAGCATCTGATTGCTGAGAATGGGGTGGTTTCGAGGAAAAATAACCCTAAAAGGTCTCCTTGCCAGAGGTCCTGTGCCCAAAAATTTTTGAGCCGCCTTCCAAAGACACCCAAAAGCGCTTGTGCCGTAGTCAGGAGTGGACCTAAGGCAGCAGATAGCCCAGTGGAAATGTGATATTTATTACAAAGATCATAGAATTATGGAATGGTTTGGATTGGAAGGGACCTTTAGAGGTCATCTGGCCCAACCCCCCTGCAGTGAACAGGGACGTCTTCAACTAGACCAGGTTGCTCAGAGCCCCATCCAACCTGGCCTGGAATGTCTGTCTAATCTAAACCTACTCTCTCTCAGCTTAAAGCCATCACCCCTTGTCCCATCACTCCATGCCCTTG